AAAAACACAATAAAATCTTTATTATCTTTGTTCTGTGTTTTTTTTGTTCGTGATACAAACTTCTTGGTAAATCATCAGCTTTAAATACTTTTAAAATAAATGTTGCAGGACGAAGCATAAGACCAGCTGGTTTTATAAATTACTTTCAATATCATTATCATCACCAGCATTTTCTTGTGATGGTGCTTCATCAGCTGGTCCTAATATATTAACTGATACTTTAAGATAACCTTTAGCACCAGCTATTCGATCATCTTCATCACTTAATAATAACCATTTTCGATTAATTGAATGTTTTGCTTGAGAATAAATATAACCAATATCCATTATAAATAATCCAATTTTCATATCAGCTCGAAGTGTTCGAGAATTACAAACTTCAAATTCAATCATTTCATCACATAATTCAGCTTCCGACATATTTATATTAAAAAAGAAAACTTCATTAAAATATGATTGATTTGTTCCTTTTTGAATTTTTGTTTGTTTTATAGAACCAACAACACGTACACGACAAACAGAATGTAAATTACTTCCATCTAATTGACGTGCTTGAAAGATTTTTATTCGAATTTGAAAATCTTGTGGTTTTGTTGATCGTGGTTTATTTTGTCGTTTATATGCTTGATCAGTAGCATTAACTTCTCCTTGCCATGATGTATCACCACCATTTTGTAAAGGTACATCATCAAATTGATTTACATCATCTTATCGAATAAAAAAAGAAAATAATATTATACTATTTTTTAAATTTGTTGATACTTTTCCACCACCATATGGTGCAATATATCCAAAATGGTCATAAAAACCCATTGTATATACAGATGTTTTAACCTTTTATCATTCAATCAACCCATGGTTTTTTCTCCGAGATCAAATTTATCCGATATATTGATCTATTAAACGTATTGATTTATTAGATTAACAACCTATTTATTAAATTAATAATCATTATAAGAATTCTTAATGATAAAATAACTGAATATCTAATATAACAATTGATCTAATTGTAAACATCAAACGATTGTTCGAGATATTATTGGTTTGTTATTAAGATGACAGATACAATAGAATATCCTTTTTATACCAATTCCTACACAGAGACAATAGATTGAATTAGATAATAGTCTGTTGTAGTTTCCACTGTTGAATTTGAATAATTTTTCAAGTGATTGAATAGTTTTCTCTTGAAACTTTTACTATGTATTACAGCTGAATATCCATCATAAACATTTCATATTTTTCAATATTTTTTCTTAAAACAAAGATTTTTATCTAATTTATTTGTATTCGAGCAATCAATATACAATTGAATTTACAATGAAGGAAAATATTCATAGACATCGTTTGAACAATATATTTTCTGTTCGAAAATTAATTGTTTTACTTTAGAACAATTCCGTCTTGTTGCATCTCTTGTAAAGTTCTTTGTTACAAGTGCTAAGTCCCTATAATGAACTTTTAATTCAGTAAGACGAGGTAAATATGCCCTTGTTTCAAGTAAAAATTGCACCACATAATCCGTATTAGCACTTAAAAGGTCAAGTGATATCAGATGAAAATATTCGATAATGGAATTAAATGGATTCTTATCAGATTTTAATTCATCACGGTTCCATGATTGCACCATTTCATTCTGTATAACCAGACACTTCAGTATTGGAAAATTTTGACTAATTCGCATAAAGAAGTCATGTTTCATTGGAGCGATACCAAAGAGAAGTAAATGAGTTACAGTGTTAAATACAATATTTGGAAAATGGTTTGAGATCTTTATCAGACGAGTGAATGTACATGGAATTGAATAAACATGACATATACCTTCAAACTTTTTGAAATGATCAATAATACAAGTCATTTGTCCGTATTTTATGTTTATAAATTTGTTTTCAATATCATGATTAGATCTATGATAAACTGAATCATCAATAAATGCTTCTGTACTTATATAAAAGATGAATGTATGAAGTTGAAGCATATAAACAAGAATGTCATTGTGAAGATGTGTATAATCAACGAATGATTTTTCCCATGTACGAAGATACAAAGTTAACTTTTCGAGATGTGTCATACGACGAAGAAGTGGCAAAACCATACTTTCGTATGCATATGTGATATTGTAACTTGTTAATGAGAAACACTTCAAATTCTGTAGTTCATCCTACAAAATGCAAAACAAAAATTTCGAAAAACATATTTATTGGTTCAGCTAAGATAATATGCATATAAGAAACGGATAGTAATCATCACTCATTTACAATTCTTCTATTTAATGAGATATACAATACAATCATTTCTAAACAAAAAAATTCTTAATATTTCTAAACTTTCTAATATTGAAAAAAAAAATTAAATCTTTAATTTCTAAGATAATTCAAAAGAAAAATAATCAACTTTATAATTTAATAAAATGTCAAGACTTTCACATTCTAAATTTAATTAAATTTCGAACTGTAAATAAAATATATTTACATCTTTACATACAGTAGATCTGATTTCTAGGATATAATTGTTATTATTACATACATTTTAATTAACACAAAGTTTCTTAGAAATATTCTCATTGATGTGCTTCAGTGTCCAGCATGAGACAAATTTTTCTAATCCGATCCAAACTTAGCATTATTGAACTAGATGTGAGGGCGAAAGGTTTTTGATGACCCGACTCGAACTCGTCCATGTTTAAAGATATTTTTTAGTCAATCAAAGCCAGTTTTTTCAGAGATTAAGCATTTTTTGATGAATCTCCGAAAGTTTTCTAAAAATTGAAAAAAAATTAAATCATTATCCCATTTAGTATTCATACTTCACTTATAGGAACCTTGAAATCGATCGATTTATTACGACTCGAACAAAACTAAATCGAAGCTTTTTAGTGACTTAACTCGGCTCGATACGAGTCCGACATTGATATGATCTAAACAAATATAATTTCTTTGGATAACACCATCTTTCATTCTAGTGTATTTTTCAATCAAGTAAATTTTATATCCTTCGTTCTCTTGAAATCGTGTTATTAGAAATCTTCTAAACAAGTAAGAAATGCCCACATAATACTAATAAATTCTGCAGTTCTTCCTAAATAATATAAGAGAGATTGCTTCCATTCTATACTAAAATAAACTGATTAGTTTGTAATTGTTATAAAACACTACTCAAACATCTAATTTGTTCCGTGAATCCTCGAAATCAAAACAACTTGTTAAAAAAATATCAGACAATCTTTGCTCTAGTCTGTTGCGATAGTTATGATACGCGTTTTACAACAATTTGATTAGCTGATTCTAATGAATGATTTATCAAATAATATGAAGATAAAAAGCATTTGTCTTTCAATAGCATCAACTCACCATATTGCTAGAAATCAACGATGACCTATAGATATCATCAATTTGAACAATGAACGTGGTGAGTTGTTCCAGACGGCCATCAAGTAACAAGAGACAATCATCAGAACCACACAAATAAACACATAATACGGTAAGAGTTGAGGAAAAATAAGTAGTTGATGGTAGACTAAAAATCGACAATGGTGGATATTCATTTATACATGACGCAATAATTGTCAAATGCTTTAAATCTTTAAAAAGATCAATGATATGTGCATATACGTTTGTAGTATATGTTTTCAACGATTTTTTATTGAGATATTTATCATTATTATGAAGAACAAGATCTCTTATTTGATATTTAAAAATATGCCGAAAGGTTGAGTCATCTAAATAAAAAAACCAATGTAATGAAATACTTTTGTATTATGATCTTTTGATGATTAAGAGTGCGTTATGTGCTTACCTGTAAAATAATGACAAACTACTTCTTGTCCAAAATTGAAGAGTTCCAAAGAAGTCAAATTTGGATAATCACCAACAAGAAGAATACGTTTCATAGATGTTGTTTCGACAATCAGCTTTTTAACAGAATGGTGAATTCGAGGTAATATTGAAGTACAAAATCGATCAAGCTTTATATCATTAATTGACGGTATTCTTACAAAATTGAGAATGTTAGTAAATAGACCATGTTCTACTAAGATGTCAAGTTGTTTATTATTAATTCCGAATAATGAATAAAGAACATCAATATTGTCGAGTTTCTTCAAGATGATAAGCAATATTTCATTCGGTAGATCAAGAAGATCAATGTCTGACTGATTCATATTTGTTTATAACCATCACCCATCTTGAAACATACATATATATATGTTCATTTTTTTTTCTTTCGAATTTTTTCGTCAGCGAAGAATATAATGCATGACCCCTATGCATAAAAAATGTGCTATTGGTCGCGATATATTGTTGAATATGATCCTCAACAGATGCTGTTCTTCTTTCACTATTTATTTATTTTGTTGCATTTGTTCAAAATGTTCATTCACATGAAAGTGAACGATAAGATCAAAAAGACCTTGTACACACTAGAAAAATTAATACAGAAATTAGCAACGTGATTGGTCTATTCAGATTTAACTCATCTTTTTGAGATGAATTTTTCGTTCTTCAAGTTTAATTCATATTAAATTCGTCTAGTTTGTTTGGGGCCAAAGAGACTGAAAAAATTAGACGTGAATTAAAAAATGTAATTGGTGTTGCCACTTGAAAACACCAATCACATTTCTTAATTCATCTTTCACTTTTCCGGTCTGTTTTTGACCTAAGACCTCAAACAGATCGAACACGTTAAAACAGAATTAACTAATACAATTCGCATTGCTATGCAAAAAGGCCTATCATGTTTCTTAATTCACTTTTAATTAGTCGGTCTGTTTGGGGTCTAACATAATATGCTCAACAAAAGAAACTTAACATATCAATAACAAACGAAAACTGACTGAATTTTAACAATAAATAATTAAAATCTTGATCCTTAATTCAGTCTTGTACCAAAAACAAAAGCATCAAGTATTAGCGAAAAAGGATTGGCATCGTTGTCGATCATTCTATTTTTTATCAGATGTGGTTACAGAAATTTAGTTTTTGGTAAATCTGGGTCCAAAAAACCATGACCTCAAAACGTCGTAATCACGGATCTTCAAAAACATATCATAACCTATATCTTAAACACTGTCTCTTACCATTGAGTGAAGGTATTGTGAGTCATTAGAATTATATAATCATATGCACCTGAAATTATCTACTCCTTATGAAAATACTGGGTCTCAGGAGAGTCAATCCAACACTAGGATCCCATCGGATTGATATGGAAACCCATAAGTTCCGGTCGGATCCTATAAGATTTCATCAAAATTCTGTCGGAACGCATCGGAAACCGGGAAACGGTTCCATAGACGGAACCCAGGTGTTGGAATCCGTCATATCCTACAGTCGGAATCTGGTCGGATCCATTGCCTCGGAACGGATAAGATCCAACCGTTGGAATCCGGTCAAATCCGACGACGGAATCCCGCAAAATACTACTGTTGCCAAACACTCGGATCCCACAGTCGGAATCTAAACAAAAATAACTGTAGGAATGACTGCGTAACCCACCGTCTCAAGTCGCAGATTCCGGTAGATTTTTGTTTTGATTTCTCATTTCATTAGAATTTCTCCTAGGACTTCACTTCGATTTCATTAGGATTTCACTAGGATACATTTTTGGATTTCAGAACAATTTTACGAAGATCATTAGTAGAATTTCAGCAAGACTTTAGTAGGATTTTTTTCTGTACACCGATAGGACTTCACTAAGATTTCTGTTACAATTTTGTTAGGATTTTACCAGAATTTCTCTTAATATCACTGATCTACTAAGTACACATATTACACATATTGTTTTGAATTTATTTAGCGAAGTACGATAAAGATCTAACA